AGTTCTCAGATCTGTGGAGCAGCAAGAGGAGAAGTCCCATTAGACTAGAGATAGGAGGGGACAAGGTGAGGGCAGGGCTAAGAGCTAAGCATTTCTCTTTTCATAAACTTTCAATTTTAGAGTAGTTTTAGATTTACAGAACAGTTGTAAAGATAGTAGAGTTCCGTAAACTGATCATTTTTTTAGGTTCTGCGTCTACCTCTTCCTTATGCTCATGCCATATTGGTAATCTTGTTTGCACAAATGTTCTCCTATACATAAGAGACAGTGTAAAAATCAGAGCGGTATAAGGCATACAGTGGAAACTTACTCCCACCCCTGCCCCATCCACACTGTTCCTTCTCATTCCCTACAGACACCTTTTAGTTTCTTATGTATCAGTCCTTCCTGTTTCTCTACGCAAATGCAAGCAAATAAGAATATACATTCTGTTTCCTCCTTTTCTTATACAAAAGGAGTTTTGAGACTGGTTTATAAGAGCTACACTGTCCAAGAAGGTCACTACAAACCATATGTAACCAGCTACTGAGCAATTGATATGTGCTCACTTCGGGGATTGATGATACAACTAAAAAAAGGAATTTTAAATTTTATTTCATTTTAAATAGACTTAGAAGCAATGTAGAAACTTCATTTCAAACCTGACTTTACTGATTTTACTGTTTTGTTAGGGCTAGGACTACATTTCACTTTAACCCTCAGTAATACAGTGTTCAAACTGAGATATGATCTAAAATATACACCTCAATTTTAAAGATTTAAGTTTATTTTTTGTAGTCTTACTAATGTTTTAATATAAGGTAAAATAAACATTTTTAATAGATTAGGTAAAATAAAATATTAAAATTCAGCCAATTTCCTTTTGTTTCTTAAAGTGATTCTATAAAATTTTACGTATGTGGAGAGCACTGATACAGAGCTTTCATTACTTTTTATAATTGTATAGTATTCCATTGTACATAGTACCATAATTAATTTAACAATTCCACCTAGATGTGCACTGAGTTGTTTTCAGTTTTTTTTTTTTTTTTTGTAAGTTAAGAAATGCTTAACCTTATCCATTTATCATTTCACATGTGTGGAGGTTGATCTGTAAAATGAATCAATGCCCAGCACTGGGGTTGCTAGGACAGAGGTTAGTGTTTTTGTAATTTTGATATTACCAAAAATTGTCCTGTATCAATTTGTAATGATCCTCTAGTAATGTGTGTAAGTTTCCCCATATACTGCCATTTGAAACTATAGTTATTTATATTTGGGTAATATAAAAATAAATTTCTTACTAATTCTGAGAGCATTTAAGAAGAAATTGCAGATGCCTTGCCTAGCTTCTTTTTCTGTTTTTTAAAAAAATAAAGAATACTTACCATTGATGCTAAAAGTCTTATTAAAATTTGCCTTTTAGAATTGACTTCTTTTTTAAAAAATGAAAATGAAGAATTAGCCCAAACTGTTTTCCTGGAAGTAAATTTCTATTCAAGGTCCAACTTTCATCATACTTAGATTTAGAAAGAGGGATTTGGGGAAGACTCAAATGGATAAGGAACATTTTCTTTTATTTTCCAAGAGTTAAAAATTTCTTGAATTATTCCAGTAGCCCTCCCTGGCTGTAGTGGACTCACATTTCAGGGGAAAAAAGCAGTTTGCTTGCAATTTTTTGCATAACTGTCCATTAAATGGCCTCTGGATTAATTTTACTGTATGCTAAAATACATTCTCACGTAGGCTGCTTCACCAAGGACTGACCACATAATTAGAGTTTCAGAGTTGTCATAATCATTAGATAGACTGTTCTATTTAGTTTATTAAAAAGCTGCAGAAAAAAGCTCATCTTTTCACCTTTTTTTTTTTTAAGCAGCAAAGAAGTGTTTATTGTGAGCTAGCTCGGTACTCTGCGTGCACACGGCAACTGGTGACTCTAAGAGGCCCTGAGCCCAGGGTTTGTAGTAGTTTTATACACTCTTTGGGGAAGGCAGGGACTTCACATACATCATAGCATCTCTTAACAAATCATCACACACTGTGGGAAAAACATAAAACAACTCTAAAACATGATTAGCACATTCACTGGCGGGAACAAGTTGGTAAGGGTGATTGGTTAGTACAAGAAGGGGATTCATTTGAACTGATTGGTTTAGGCCACGAGGGGAGTATATGCTGAACTATGTGGCTTCCCAACATGTTATCAACCACCATAAACTACTGGGGGGGGGGTTCATCTGGCATCCCAGGTATTTTCCCTGTCTCATGCTGATTGGTGGTTGCTAGGGGGTTGCTATGGGTCCTCACCTAGCCTGACTGAGTCAAGGACACCTGGCTCCGCAGATCTCTCCTGTTATTTGTTGATAAACAGCTCAGCAGGGTGGGTATGTGCCTAGGAGTGCTCTGTGGGTCTTTCCAAGGACAAGGGTCACACCCCCTTCCTTGGTCAGGCTTTGCTGTGAGGTAGAGGCTGGTTTCTCATTCCCCCCTTTGTCTGGAAACTTGGGAACCAATCATAGTTCCCTAAGTTGGGGGCCTATTTGGGCAGGCTCTACATCTTAATAAACAGTAACCCTCAGGGAACAGTCTTCAGCTTCCCAGACTCACTCAAAATTGGCCTCCTAGATCCAACCTGACTCAATTTACCTATCTACACTGTCTATTTCTGACTTCATTCCTCCCTCTAATTTTAAGAACTCCTTATTGCTGTAAGGAGAAGGGGCGACGGCTTGTTCTGGCTACTTCAGAGCTGAGAGGGGGCATTGAATGTGAGGGGCTCGACGACATGGGGGATGACGTGGGGGACGTGAGTTTCCTTTTAGAAGTCAGTTCCATTTGAAGTCTGGTTGGGGAAAAACATGTTGTCATCTGAGGATGGGTGCTTCATACAACTTTAGAACACCAACTTGATATAATTGCTCTTTTAAAGCTTCTACCTTACAGACTTGTATACTGGCCAGGTTTTCATCACCTCTCGATCGGGGTATCTGGGTAGGCTTATAAGGGGGATCCATATGTTATGCTCAAATTCAGGACCCCCAAAAGACCACCAGAGACCAAGATTGATGTAAGCAGCAAAGAAGTGTTTATTGCGAGCTAGGTCGGTCCTCCGCGCACACACAGCAACTGGTGACGCTGAGAGGCATCTTTTCACCTTAAGGAGCAGACCAACTGCCCTCTCTGCCATTTTTGTTAGTGCCTCCCCTCACCTCACAGATGGAAATGAAGAACTGAACAGTCAGTATCCAGAAACAAGCCACTTCAAATTTTCCATTCATAATAATCTGAAAATAAGATTCTTGTGAAGAGAAATGTCACTATGTTGTGAGGGATGTGCCAAATAAGTTCATAAATTAGTATAATGAAACACGTTTCTTACGAATAGAAAAAATCACATTTTGGCAAATCCTAGCGGCACATAAATGCATTTTATTGCAAATGTGATTATGGACATTTACTGTTGGGGGATTTTCTTAATTCTCAGTATGCAAAGATTAAGACAGAGAAAGAAAAATGTTGACTGCTGATGTTGATCATGAAGAAGAGCAGCAGGACACAGGGCCTGTGTGTTGAGGTCACCTCAGTGATGGGTGCTATTGGGTCATTTCTACTCTGTGGAAGTTAAAAAACAAAAAGATATACAACTTGTGTGTGTGTGTGTGTGAGAGAGAGAGAGAGAGAGAGAGGGAGAGGGAGAGAGAGAGAGAGAGAGAGAGAGAGATATCTTTAAAATTCTTTTTCTGTTCTAATTAGTTATACATGACCGTAGAATGCACTTTTGATACATCATATATAAATGGAGTATAATTTTTCATTCTTTTGATTGTACAGGAGATAGAATTCCACCAGTCATATAGTTATATATGTCTGATTCATAATGTCTGATTCATCCTAGAATCCTTCCTCTGCCCATACTCTCTCCCCTCCTTTCATTCCCCTCTACCTAAAGTAAGTATTCTTCCCTAGTCCCCCTGACCCCTATTGTGAATTAGCATCCACATATCAGAGAAAACATTTGGCCTTTGGTTTTTTTGGGATTGACTTATTTCATCTAATATGATAATCTCCAGTTCCATCCATTTACTGGCAAATGCCATAATTTCATTCTTTAAATCTGAGTGACATTCATATATATATATATATATATATATATATATATATATATATATATATATATATATATATAAAACTTTTTAAAATTTATTTATCTATTTAAGGGCATCTCAGTTGGTTCTATAGTTTAGCTATTGTGAGTTGAGCTTCTATAAACACTGATGTGTCTGTATCACTGTAATATGCTGATTTTAAGTCCTTTGGGTATAAACCGAGGAATGGGATAGGTGGGTCCAATGGTGGTTTCTTTCCAAGTTTTCTGAGGAATCTCCAGGTGGATCAAAGACTTGGGCACTAGACCAGAGACCCTGCATCTAATAGAAGAAAAAGTAGGCCCAAATCTTCACCATGTTGGCTTAGGATCTAAAGCACAAGAAGTGAAATCAAGAATCAATAAATGGGATGGATTCAAACTAAAAAACTTCTTCTCAGCAAAGGAAGCAATCAGTAATGTGAAGAGAGAGCCTACAGAATGGTAGAAAATCTTTACCACCTGCACCTCAGATAGAGCACTAATCTCCAGGATATACAAAGAACTCAAAAAACTTGACACCAAAGAAACAAATGACCCAATCAATAAATGGACTAAGGAACTGAACAGCCACTTCACAGAAGAAAATATACAATCAATCAACAAATATATGAAAAAATGTTCAACATCTCTAGCAATTAGGCAAATCAAAACTGCTCTAAGATTTCATCTCACTCCAGTCAGAATGGCAATTATCAAGACTACAAGCACCAGTAAATGTTGGTGATGATGTGGGGGAAAAGGTACACTCATACATTGCTGGTGGAACTGCAAATTGGTACACAACTTTTTAATAGGAAACAGCTATACCGTAATTGTTCCTCATGTCCCTTTTTGCTTCTGTTGCTAATTTTGCCTAATTACTTTGTTGCAGGAAGGCTTTTCACTCGTTGATAGCAAGAACTGGTTGAAGATCGTAAGACGCATGGATTGTCTGTTGTTTGGCACAACAATAAAGGCAAGATAAAGTGGGCTGTGTAGCCAACTATTTTTAAGCTAATGATCAGTCTTTTCTCATCTCCAGTGTGTGAATGGTGGGGTATACGGGGCTTCTCTCTGTAGAAAATGGGTGCTGGGAAGAACACACATGTTGAAGAAGGGTTTGCATTGTGAGCCAAACATGAAACTAGGGATATAAAGGCAGAAGCCTCAGTAGCAAGAGGATATCTCGAAAAGTGAAAGGCTTTGGTGGATTTGTCACCATATGTCAAGTGGAGCTGTGCAACCTTTCTCAGTCCCCCAAGCACAAACCGGGAAGAGACAGCATACAGCATGTGTTGGCTTGTTCCTTAGATGTTTTAAAAGGTGTATATAGTTGAATGCTTCACTGAATATGTCTTTTTAGTTTTTCCCTGTTTAATATTTTAAAATATAATTCCTATTTTTTTGCCTTCTAGCTGTATTAAACATAAAGAACGAACCTCATCAAAGAAACATGCAAATGAATCACATGGATTATTTTCTTTCATAACTATAAAAGATTATTTTCTTTTATAACTATAAAAATCAATCTGTTAACATTCACTGAGTAAATAATATTGAAATTTATGTGAAAGATACTAATTTTTAACGAATGTGTAGACCTTGAGAATTGAAAGAGGAAGAAGTCTTCAGGTGCATCTAATGGAGGGGTCTTACCCTGGGGTGCACAGACCTCCAGATGGTCCCCATAGAGTTCAAGGTATCCATGAACTTGCAGGGATTTTCACTGACCTCTAATTGAAATTTATCATTTCCTTCTATTTATGAAAGTAGTTTACAGAGCATAGTAGTGTTAGACCTTCCCATCAATGGCTATCACAGGTAATTTCATATCACGTTATAGTTGTTTGAGATATCTCAGATGTCATTTATACTCATCAAACCTCAAAATTAAGATGGTTGTTAGTTCTACTTTTAAATCCTTTTATTGAATATATTAATAAAGAAGCATATCCTATCAGTTCACAAATTAGTGTTTTAATATTGTGATAAACTAATTTACTATAATTGGTTGTTTTTCTTTGCCTTTTATCTGATTAAAAGCATTGTTCTGAGAAAGATTCACTGTCTCACCAGACTACCAAAGGGTTCTGGGGCTCACATTCCAAAACGTTCAAGAACCCCTGTCTAAATTTTACATATGAGGAAACTGAATTAGATGTAAGCCAACAGCCAAGGTTAAGACTAGCTCTCAGGGAACCAGCTGCCCATTGGTCTTCTGACTCTCAGCTTAGGACTGGATGAATGTTTCAGTGTTTTAAAAGTCACCCATGTTCTTTGTTTGATATTTGACTTTTAATATTTTCTAATTACATATTATTATTTAAATTTTTTTTTTTTGTACTAGGAATTGAACCCAGAGCCACATACCCAGTGTTTTTTTATATTTTATTTTGTGATGGGGTTTTGTTAAATTGCTGAGGCTGGCTTTGAACTTGCAATTCTCTTGCCTCAGTATCCCAAGCTGCTGGGATTTCAGGTGTATGACTCTGTGCCCAGATTATTAAAAAATTTAGTGAAGTATAAAGTGCAAAGTAAAAACCAACTGTAATGTGACTCCTCAAAAGTAACCATTATTAACATTTTAGAATTTTGACTAGGCATACATTAGGACTGTGTTCAGATGAATGTAATAAAAAACTCAGCTATAATGACCCCCCCACACACACATAGTTCTTTTTTTCACTTAATAAGAAATCAAAGCCAGATATGGTGGCACATGCCTGTAATACCAGCTACTCAGGAAGCTGAGGCTGGAGGATCCTAAGGCTGAGGTCAGCCTTAGCAACTTAGTGAGGTCCTGTTCTCAAAATGAAAAATTAAAGGGGCAGGAGATGTAACTCACAGGTAGAGCACCTCTGGGTTCAATTCCTAGTACTATAAATAAATAAATAAATAATTTAAAAATAGGCCATTTCCAGCATTGGTTTAGCAGCTCAGCAGTGTCAAGCTCAATGTCTCTCTCTCGGCCTGTTCCTCACAGTTGTAAAATGGCAGTGGCAGCTCTATTATATTTCCATTTGAGAAAGGTCAGCATCTCCTATAAGGTTCTCTCCCTCCAGCAACCCCTAGATGTCTGCAGTGTGTCTGTCATAGACTGCAAAGACTAGTGTTTGGTTTTTCCAGTCTCTCCTTTGGATTGACTTATGGCAATTAACAGTGTCTGCCATATACATAATTCATAAAAATAAGATTGTAATATTCTGCTATTTTGTCATATAGCATTAAATCAGGGGACATTATATCAAATTATCATGTAGTCTTTAAAAACATTCATAATAGCTGTGTAGCATATTACTCTTTGAATACACCATGATTTAACTAATCTCCAATTGTTCACTATTAAAAATGTTCTGATTTTCATTAAATTTAGAGGGTTCTTGAAATAGAAATCCTAGAAGTATGAACATTTATCTTGTAAATTTGCCCTCCAGATAGGTTGTCCCTGTTTCTACTGCACTAGCTGTGTATTGAATATTCACTTATCCAGATCCTCTCCAAGACGGTGATATAATTTAAATTTACCAACTAGATTCTAATTTGAAGTAGAAATGAGCATATTCCTTTAATTTGCATTTCTTTGATTCCTAATGAGAATGAACATTGTTAGAATCTGTACTTCTTCTGAGAATCATCTACTTTTTTTGCTTTAATTCTTAAAGTATTTAGATACTATGTGTATAGAGTAATCTGCATAGCTATATGTTTTAATATAGTTGAGTATATATCACATATAGATATTTTTAAAATATTTAAGGCTGGAATGGGGAACAACTAGAGACTCTGGAGCCTGAGGCAAGAGGATTGAAAGTTCAAGACCAGCCTCAACAACTTAGCAAAGCCCAAAGCAATTTAGTGAGACCCTGTATCAAAGTAGAGAATAAAAAGGGCTAGAGGTGTGGCTCAGTGGTAAAACACCCAGGGTTCAATCCCTAGTATAAAAAAAAATTAAGGTTGGTAACCTTTGACTTATGTTCTTTATCTCAAAAGATTTATATAGATAGTTCTTTTGAGATAAAGAACATAAGTAAACTTAAGTTGTTGAAGCTGACCTTAAGAATTTTTTGATGATTTTGTCTGTCCTAGGCTTTGAGGTTATATATATAAGATATATATCCTGGGTATTGAGCCCAGGGGTGCTCTACCACTGAGCTACATCCCCAGCCCTTTTTATTTTTGAGACAGGGTCTTGCTAAGTTGTTGAAGCTGACCTTAAACTTGGGATTCTCCTGCCTCAGCCTCCCAAGTCTCTGGGATTTTAGGTGTGTGCTATCGCACCCGGCTTCAGGAAGTAGTATTAAACATTAAGTACAACTCTAGCTGTTGATTGTATATTCTTTACTATGTAAGGGAGATGTTCTTTCAATAATAGTTTATTTGCTAATACTTTTTCAATATTACATATTAAATTTTAGCAAATGCTTTTTGAGTCTATCAAGATGATATTGTTTTTCCTACCTTTGATCTATTGACTTGATGTCATATAATAATATTAAACCATCAGCTGCAGGGGGAGGGGGGCAGCGCTGGGGTTGTGGCTCAGCAGTAGACCACTTGCCTAGCGCGTGCAAGGCCCTGGGTTTGGTCCTCAGCACCACATAAAAATGAATAAATAAAACAAAGGTATTGTAAAAACAAAACAAAAACATCATCAGATGCTTCTTTTTGCCTTACCTGTCAAGGAGTATTTTTGGTGCTTTTTGCCTTGTATAACTTTTAGTTACTAAGTATTATGTAGCATACACTATTGTTTAAACGGACAGATGTTGGAAGCAAAATTTCATTCTTTTAACAGAAGTTTAATAAAACTTAAATTCTGTAGGTAATACACATTATATTTCTTTTCTCTCTGGATTAACATTCATAGATTTGAATGAATTATGTCTTTTAAGGGAGGTTGAAATCACAGATTTAGTAAATTACGGCTGCTTTTTTTTTTTTTTTAGCAATTCTGAGCAAATAGATCCTGGCTTATCAGCTAATGGTAGACATATAATTCTTTATCTGAAGGGCACTTTGGGCTCAAAGGAGTGAACCTAAGCTACTGTTCTCTTTTACTTCTCTCCCCTAGTGGCCACTGAAGAATTTTTTGATGATTTTGTCTGTCCTAGGCTTTGAGGATATGTTTCAAAGTAAAGCAAATACTCAGGTTCATCCTCTGGTCTTATTAAGTCCATTTTATATTACTTTAGTTAGTTAACGGTTCTGGGGGTCTAAGACCACATCTGATGATGGTCCTCTTGCTGTCAGAATCCTGAAATGGCACAGGGCATCACATAGCAAGACCCAGGGAGCACACACTGTTTAGCCTCTCTTCCTCTTCTTGTAAAGGATTCAATCCTAGGGGGGCTCTGCCCTCATGAATTTATCTAATCCTAATCACTTCCCAAAACACACCTTTAAAGAGCAGTCAGATTAAATGTCCACCCTCTCGATGCCTTGTGGTGGGGATTAAATTTCAACACATGATCTCTTGGGGGACTCATTCAAACCATATCCAAGCCATAGCACTGGTTAAGTCTTTTATTGGTACTTTGCCATGTATTTTCTGTAGTATAGGAAGTCACCATTAGTGATGAAGAAAATTTCCATTTGGGTATCCTGGTGGTGCTGGAGACATTACAGATCTAGGTAATGAATCTGAAACCAGTAGAAAAGCCCCTGAGTTTGAGACCTCTGATATCTCCCTTGCTGTTCTGTGATGTAGTGCTACCTGGGTGCTAGTATCCCAGGTGCCTGATGCCTGTCAGCCATCTGCTACAGAGGCTGTAGATAAAGCATGCCTGCAGCAGCACATAGGGGCTTGCTCCCTCCTTAAATTGAAGTCTTGGTTTTCTTGTACATGCAGTTAAGTGTAAAAGAGATTGGCACTTGTCCTTAACTTTTGTTTCCTCAAGAAGTCTGTGCAAGGTTGGGGTTGTGGCTCAGCGGTAGAGCACTCGCCTAGCATGTGTGAGGCCCTGGGTTCGATCCTTAGCACCACATAAAAAATAAATAAATAAAAATATTGTGTCCAACTACAACTAAATAACTAAATATTAAAAAAGAAGTCTGTGCAAAATGGCATTTTCTGTAAGTTCTTATAACTTGAAATTAAGTATTTGGTAGTAGGGTGGATACAACTTATCATGTAAACCACAACTTAAAATACAGTAATTATGAGCTGACCTCCTTAGATAATCGAAACTGGAAATTTGGGGCACTTCATGACTGTGGGTATAATTCATTTCAAAGCAAATTGTTCTTTCTGACTTTTAAGTATTAGTATTACAAAAAACATCTCTTCAAGCCAAGCAGTCCTTTTGGTTATCCATTGTGATACCCCATGCCATTAAGGATGTATGATGAAGATACAACTTGTTTTCAGATTTTTTCTGATGTACATTGGCTTTATCTTGGGTCCACATGCATTGAAAGGAGTATTTCTGACTTCAGATGATAAGCTGAAATTCTGAGAATTTTATAGAAGCAAACATGGAACAAGACCATCAGATATATAACCTCCTACCTTTTTGGAAGTACACTCCAAAGCAACCTTAACTATCCAAACTGATACTTCCTGCCTGGAATCTTGCTCCCTCCCTTCCTCCCTTTCTTCCTTTTTTTTTTTTTTTTTTTGGTGGTGGTAGTAGGGGGTGTTGGGCCTCATGCTTGCTAGGAGGGCTCTACCACTGAGCTACACCCCAGCCCTACCAAACTGATTCTTAGTGCACTCACATGTAGGTGCCTCTAGACTTACATAATTGGTCTCAGATTTTTTACTCTCTTTATAATTAGTATCTGTCTGCATGTGCATACAAGCTTTTCAGCTGGCTATGAAGTACAAGTTTTGATGTGTTGTTACTCAAAAGGTTAATTAGACAATTACAAAATCCTAATAGATATTAATAATAAAAGCAAACAGATATTACTATAAGCTGAAAGTATAATTCTCTTATCAGTTCTTTTCCCTTCCTGAGGGAAAGTTAGCTTTTAATTACTCTTCATAATTTGGGGATTATTCATCCAAGAGAAAACTGGCTAAGGGTATTGAACAGGCAATACACGAAAGAAAAAATACAAATGACCAGTAAGTGTAAGAAAAATGTTCAGCCTCATTGGGCATGGTGGCTCACACTTGTAATCCCAGTTATTTGGGAGGCTAAGGCAGAAAGATGGAAAGTTCAAGGCCAGCTTCAGCAACTCAGTCAAAATAAAAAACAAAAAAGTGGTAGAGTGTCCCTGGGTTTAATCCCCAAAACGAGAGAGGGAGGGAGGAGAGGGAGGGGGAGGAGGATAATTCAACCTCACTTGTAATGAAAGAAACAAAAATTTTAACATCCATGTTGGTTAAAGTTAAAAGGAATAAGAATCTCCAGTGTTGGAGGGTTCAGGGAAATGGGTACATACTTTTAGTGGGAATAAATTGATCCTCTCTTGCTACAGGGCAGTGTGGCATTATGTACCAAACTATGAAATACACATATTCTGTGACCCAGCAAGTCTGCTTTTAGGCATTTATATACAAAGATGTATGTATAAGTGTGCTTAACTCAAAGCTTTTGGTTTATAATAGGAAAAAAGGGTGGAAATAACCTAAATGTTTGTCAGTAGGGGGCCAGTTAAATAAAGGAATACTCTTCAGCCTTTCAAAGTAATGAGGTACACTTCTATTTTTACATACTTATTGTTAAATAAAAAATTAGGTTACAGAACAGCAGTGTGGCTTAAAATATACGTACACAATATATATATAACCTATATATTATGTATTATATATTTTTACATATTTATGTACGATTTTATTATTATATGTACATAAAACATGTGCATGCATATGTGTATATATGAGAATATTTCTTTTTCATAGTTTTTTCAGTATCAAAGGGGGTAATGATAATAGATTACTTTTACATGCAAGGAAAAAATTAATTCAAACTTTCCAAAAGAAGCCAACATTATCAATAAAAAGGGGTAGGGACATCTATTCTTCTGACTGTGATACCTTACAATTTCTGAGTCATGCCCAGTGCCCCAGAACCTAAACACATGGCTTTGCTTAATGGATTTTTAAATTATTTGTGAAGTCCTGGGAATTGAATCTAGGATCTCTTCATGTTAGGCAATTCTACACCACTAAGCTACACCCCTAACCCCTTGATGAATGTACTGAAATAGTATAAATTGTGAATAGGAAAATCAGGGACTATTTGCTGATAGAAACTTTCAGGATTTCAGTGGCTTAATTAGAAATGTTTTCACAGTAGCAATGTGGTTTATATATTCACTAAGTGAAAAGGACTGTCACTATGTTGATATTGGCACGTGCATTTCTTTACAGAAGAAACTGAACAAATACAGTCCTGTTTGGGGTAGCTTTTATCCAAGTTGACTCATCTACACTAGGCAGAATATTAGACTAGAAAGAGGATACTACTACTAAACTAATGATTCTGTGTTATGTTACAGTTTGGGTCTGTTTTTTAAACTTACAATCAAGTAACTTTGTAGCTGGCAGATTTTACTAAAATTTTAATGGCATCTGTTCACACAGGGACTGGGGTCTTTAATTTGTTGTATGAGTTACATCCCTTGGCAAATTAGCAAAGGGATGTAACTAATTTGCTATTTGCCAAGGGATGTAACTCATACCAAATTAAAGACCCCAGTCCCTGTGTGACTTGTGTGGTGGTCTGGCCTCCCAAGGATAAAGGGCACCAGAGATTATTTATGACATTTGCTGTCAGCATTTGCCTGTAGCCTCTTCTCCAGTACTAGTTAAGTTCACTGCCTTGTTTAATGTGGCATCTACCAGGTTTGTGCTTTCATATTTTCAGTTTAGAAATTTTTTGTTGAGCCAGATTATACAGCATTATCCTGATTCTCCATTTAAGGAATTTGAAGCTCTAAATTTTGTATTCCAAAGCAAGACAAAGCATTGATCTTCCACTGCAGCCATGTACAGACTTTTCCATTTTTGCTGGTATTAGTTCCCTAAGGGAAATGAATTTCACTATGAGGAATAACTTCCAGAGGGAGAAGGAAACAAATTTTTGATTTCTCTGTACCTCCACTAACAAGCAAGGATTATTGCTTCCACATGTGCTGCTCTGCCCTTTCCAGACAAAGGGAACCCACTCACTAGAAGACCCTACAATAAATCAAAGTCAAGGCGGGGTGCAGTGGTGTACGCCTGAAATCCCAGCTTCTTGGGAGAATGAGGCAGGAGGATTATGAGTTCAAAGCCAGCCTCAGCAACTTACCAAGGCCCTGAGCAACTCAGGAGACCCTGTCTCTAAATAAAATATAAAAAAGGACTGGGGATGTGGCTCAGTGATTCAGCACCCCTGGGTTCAATCCCTGGTACCAAGAAAAAAAAAAAAAATCATGATCAAGTGATACGACAAGGGTCTCTCAGGATAACTTTTGATTTGTCAAACAGAATAAGAGCCGCATGTTTCGCATACAGTTTGGTGGGGAGTCCAAGGAACAAGCGCTGGAACACTGCTGCAACTGTGTGCAAAACCTGTCCCAGTATGTAACTGTTCAGATGCCCGAGGGAATCATTCAGGAGCTCCATCCAAGACCTGGCCCATGGGCAGGTGGAAGCCAAGGGAAGGACTGTGCAAAGAGGTCCCCAGTGCAGCATGGGGTAAGTATGCTGGGCGTTGGCCATGCAGGAAACCTGGCAGTGTAATGTGTGGATGGGCCCCCAAATCTCAACAGAATTGTCAGACCTATTGGGTTTGTAGTTCAAAGATACCTAATGTTGAGTGACTTTAAAATTGGAAGGCCAGTAACCACTGTAACTGATTATAATCCTAGAAATGAGACAGGGAGTCTCAGCTGCATTCTGGGTGTCACTACAGAACAGTGCTTCCCAATGTGTGGTCCATGGACCCCTCTCTTGAGGTCCTTTCACCTAGCCCACAGGTTGTTATTTACATAATAATAAGACATTGCTTGCCATTTTCACATTTTCATTGTCCACATGGATGGGACAAACATCCTGAGTACAGCTACTGTCAGTACAAACCAAGCAATGGCACCATGCTATGCCAGCAGTCAGATTCTTCACCAGTAAAAACAACCATGTTTTTTTTCAGGAAAGCACCTGAGTGGCACTTGCATCGTGAGCTGCACTGACTGTTCTCTTGTGGCGCATTACCACTGCACCAGGGTACCCCTGACACAAGGGTCATTCAGATTTGGGTGTTTGATGGAGGCCTTCTCAAAATGAATGAAGTGAGCCTCTCACTACAGGATAGCAACTGGTAGTATTTATTGACAATGATAAAATGGAAGCTTTCAAGTAGAAGTTAAAATCTTGGAAAGCTTGTGTCGAAACCATATGAGCTTCACACTTTCCTAATCCAGGTGACTTTTCTGAGGGTGCTTAATGAACATGACATTTTTTTTTTTTTAAATAAACAGATGACATTATGAAATGTGTTAACCTTTGGAAGATTTGTGTAGTTCATTGAACTAATATTTTCCAAATGACCTGTGCATTTGCTACAAAATTATATGTGGATAAAACAGCTGTTCAAAATGCTAGATAGACCAGTGGATTTTAGTGTAACAGTAGTTCATTACTGTGGTTTCAGATTTTATGTTGCATAAAACATTTAAACAACCACCACTTAGGTTTGGGTGTCATATCAAGAATACCTGCAATTATATGAAAAAGCTGTTTTAAAATACTCAGTCTTCCATCTTCATGTGTGTGTAAGGTCAGATTTTGTTTGAGTACTTGAGCTAAAATGACATGTAACAGCAGATTGCTTGCAAAGGCAGATAGAAGAATCCAGCTACTTTTTATTGAGCTAGATGGTAAAGAGATTTATAGAAATCTTTACATTTTGTTTTTAGAAAAGTGTTATTTTTATAAAAATGTTTTTAATGTTAATATCCAATGAGTTTTAAGTGAGTAAAGTTTTGTTTTAATTTATAACTCAAGTGAGGTGAGGCCCTCAGTATCATGTGAGAGGGCAAGAGGATCTAGAGATAGAAAGTTTGAAAGTGTATCTCAGCATTTCTTGGGCACAGCCCCAAATGTTGTTAAAATGAGCATCTACCTCTGCTCTGGAGATGGATTTCCAGTTCCAAGTTGGGTTTTTTCTTTTCTACTTTGAGAAGTGATTTTCCAAAGTCTGGTTTTCCAATCCCTTTATCTCCTTAGTTCCCCTTCACCAAGACAATTCATTTTTGCTGTTTGTTCACAGAATTTCTTTTCATTCACCTTTTGATGTGAATATAAATGTACATTGTCTGTATTGTCACTCATAATTTCTCTTAGGTGAACATTAAATTACATTGTAAAGTTTTTTTTTCATTAAGCATGTGCTGATTTCCCTCTGAATGTGTTTGGTTTGCCAGATTCTGGTGTTTTAGTATTCTTTCCCTTCATTTGATCTTCTTTGTGAAAATGCTGGAGCTTGTCTTACAGACACTGGATCCAATTACATACAATGTGTCTCATCAGCTCCTGCTATATTCTTTAAGAGTGCTCTCCATACAAATGGGATGGGATGGTTTACTGTGAAGTACTTTATTGCTTATGAGTCCTTGCCCTCAAACTGAATTTTTCTTTTCCAGTTTTCATTGGCCATTAGATTCAGATTATGTATAATTTACCCAATGCCTGGAGTGTAGCAGCAGGAACCCAGTAGGATCCCACGGTTTGGGAACTAAATTTGGAATGCCTTATAAAAGTAATGAAGACACATTAGGCTACTTAATTATTATCTAAATATTTTAAAATACAAGATAAATTGCAGTTGTACCCCATGGCAATGCATGTAGGCTGAGTTGTGAGCTAGTGCAGATGAATTCTCCAGCTCTCTAATTTTAAATGCTGGTCCTAATGTCTACACAGAAATACCCTGAAAGTGGTTAGAAAGCTTTCATGTATTTTCTTGGGTCTATATTCAGGGACTCTTCTGATATGTAACTTGCTGTTCTGACTAGATGAGAGAGCATGATATTGTACAAAGACCACAGGCTTTGGAATCCAAACAGATTGAAGCTAGAATCCTGGCCCTAGTTCTTGGTAGCTCTGTGATCTCTGCAAGCCACCAAGCCTCAACTGTAGAATGGCGAAAGTAAAATTTTGCATAGAAAAGAATGAGTACTGCACCTGCTAAACCTAACCTAAATCACATTACATTATTGCTATTATTTCCAGTATTGTTACCTTTTCAGATCTGCCTTTCCTTGCAAATGAACCAATTAGCATCCAGGTCAAGTAGGGAGAAGGTTTTGGGTACACAACTGCTGGTGCCCAAGTGGCCACTTTCTGCTGGACTTTTTATGCTAATAAAGGGAAGAGTTCACATGCAAACTGCAGTCCCCCTTCCTGTCTTTCCCAACCTCCATTCTGGGGTGGGCCTGGGTGCTTCACAATATCTGTAGAGCAGAAGACAAGTTGGAGAGGTCAGTTCTGGACTGCAGACATAGAGGCACTGCCTAGAACATTGTCTTCCTAATGACAAAAAAAATTCTCAGATGGGCCCCTAATGGTTAGTGTACACATTTGGTGTCATGATCCTTTTCTCAGAGTTTACCTGAAGAGTTGTAAGGTGTGGCCAAGTTCTGGCCACCCTGCTGCTCTCCTACATTCAGGTGTCATTTTTCCAGTACCTATATATGTTTTAGTCTAAAATAGTTCCCTTCTTTGCAAATAGGGATAATTCCATGTCTATTTAAAAGTTCTTGAGTCATTTCCTGGCTCCTGTTGTAGTTTTTACTTTTCCTCAGCCTTGTAATTTTGTTAATTGTGGCCTAACCAGGTGTTTCTGAGGGCTCCTGAGGCAACCCAGCCCACCCCAGAATAGAAGGTAGGAAAGATAGGAGGAGGGCACTGAAGTTTGTATGTGAACTTCCTCCCTTTGTTAGCATAAAAAGTTCAGAAGAAAGTGGCCATGGATGCTAGTAGTTGGATACAAAGAATCCTCCTTCTCTCTGCAGTTGGTGGGGTGGATTGCCTCTTCCTAGAGCACACTAGCCTCAAGGGCTTCAGTCCCACTTGGCCAGTGTTTTTGGCATAGAATTTTGGGTAACATTGTTCTCAGTTGTTTGAATTGTGTGCGAGCTGAATTTATAGGTATCCTAAGAAAACTCAAATATTAGACCTGGAAGACTAGATATATTAATTTCTTTTTATAAATGAGAAAACTGAAGAAATTCAACAGAGAAATAGGGCTTGTCTATAGGCCCTTTCTATCAAGTGCCTTGGTCTTTTTGCTCATTTTAACATTGACTAGTTTTGTTTTCTTCCTTTCTGTCCTCCCATTTCTTTTGATACTTCCAATTTTCTACCTACTCTCAAAACGCAGGTGTCACACAGAAGACAGAATCTGGCATTCTCTGCCTCCCCTATCACATTGTTAGCTCACCTAATGCAAGAACACTGCTTGGCTGGAGATAGCAACTGCCACAAGTGTTTCTGGACAAGCACTGAGTGAGCAGTAGCTGGACCTTGCCCCTCTAGACTCCTCACATTATTCCTGCAGAGCCACCAGTTTCCTTTCCTGTGACAAGCACTAGCACATCCTCCCTTCCAGTGCTGAGCTGCAGGGTGACCAGGCTTCCTTGCTTGGTTCTCACTAGGTTTTATGCTACTAGGGTGCAGGATCTCTAGCTTGTTCCTTAACTCCCATCCCCACATTGCACAGTGTCTAATATAGAGTACGTACAAACAGTTATTGAGTGGGAATATCTAGGAATTTTATTGAACTCATTCCTTCAGAATGTCTGAAATGAAAAAAAAAAAGTTTTATTAAAAACACAGTTGTCTCAAAATTATAGAATTTTTCTCTTCATTTTGCATTTCTGCAATTAACACATTACACTGAATAGCAAGTTTTAGAAGGTGCAAATATGTCAGTCAGAAGCTGGGCCTCGTCTGTCTGCCTACCTCCCTGGGTGCTGCTATGACTCTTGGGCCAGTCCTTTGTGGGCCCGGCCAGAAGTGTCTGATGAGAAGGTAGCTAACAAACAGCCCAATAGACACTGAGAACACTAGGAACAGGTACTTCTACATGGTAGATAAGTAACCCATTACCAGCATGGACCTACATGGAGCATGACTAACGATTGCTTTACTGACACTCTTTTATTTGAAGAGAATGTATGTCCACTTCAATGGCCTGTGTCTTAAGTCTAGTCTCCTAACTACATATTTTATTCTAGTCCCACCAGAACATGGAACAGCAGAGGTGTGTGGCAGCCAGCACAGGCACTGCAGAGGAAAGGACCTCAGTGATGCAATTAGCTCAGGTAGAGCCTGTTTCTATGTTGTGTTCTTGTCATGAAAAGCAATGGTCCCTAAGAATTTGTATTTCTGTTTACTAGAACAGAAACCTAAATCGTTATTATAGAAGGTAATGTCAGAAACAGGCTACTGTCATCCACCCCTACTGTGAGATTAGACAGCAAGGCACATATGCAGAAAATCCCTAAGGAAATAAAAAGAGTTGAACGTGAGATATAAAGGTTAATCACCATTTCCCCCCCCCCAAAAAAAAATAAAGGGAACTATTCTAAAACAATTATCAAAGTGAATGTGGAACTAAATCTCTAGAGGTTTCTGTAGGGACAAACTCTTGAGTGCTCAGACCTCAGCTAAGGGTATGTAGGAGTCACCTAAGCTTCCTAGACTGCTTTCAGACAGTTCCTGGCCTCTTGCAGTTTGCTGTCACCAAAGTGTCCTCCTGCAAAAACCTCTTCATTCAGAATCACAACTGCTTGATGTTCTCTCTGCTGGGAGCTCCATGAAGACTGTCTCCTTCATCTTGGCTGCACTGGGCAGCAGGTGCTCAAACCAACAACTTGTGCTTTCCACAGAATTCTGCATAGAGTTCATCAATATTCAATATTCAGTGGTATAGAAGATATGGGCATTTTCTCCATCTGGCTTACCACTAACTCACAATAAATGGACATTCACAAAATAAATAACTTGAGATCGATAAAAGATTTGGACTGAGGGGTGCAGCTGAGTGGTAGAATACACGTTTACAATGTGTGACGCCTAGTTTCAGTCCCCAGCACTCTTCCCCCCAAAAGACACAGACTTCTTGTCTGTTTCTTTTAATAACCCAACAACTGTGACAAAAATTTAAAACTAATTTTTTCAGCAGCAGGGAAGACTTCAATGTCCATATTGGCCTTGGGGTTAGGGGTTGAATCACAGTTTCCAGCAATACTCGAACTGCAAAAAGTCAAGGAGAGAGGCAGGGTGTAATGTCCTCACAAGGGAGGTATCAGTAGCCTAGTTTATTTATATAGTATAGAAGAACTATATACAAATGAGAAACAGCATGAGGCTGGGCTTGAGACTCCGTTATGAATTTGCTCTAACCTTTTGGACAAGTGATCCTATGTAAACTGATAAAACTTTTTAGAAGGCAATTTAGCAAAATATATCCAATTTAACATTTCATTACCTATAATTCCATTTCAGCTACACAAAAATATATACATGGTAGTTCATTGGCTCCAGCTCTGTTGGGAGCTGCTAACTTTTGGCTCTTTGATTTAGTTATTGTATTGATTCTTCACATTAATCCTCTGAGGTATGTGGTTTAATTCCTTTTATATGGATGGCATGATTTAGTGCATAGTGTACAATTGACATTTCTCTAGGAGCTATAATAGAAATTATGTTGTTTTTAACAAATTGGGAACAACATAATGTTCATTTAATAGGATACTGAGTAGCTGAAGTGGTGAGATTAAAATGTAATTAATAATAGTGATGTTGCCCCTCTCACTGACAGGGAAAGATACTACAAAGCATTTTTTTTTTTTTTAAGTGGCTGTAAGTCTGATGTATAATCCCAGCAACTCAGGAGATAGGCATGAGCAAAGCAAGGTGAAACCTTGTCTCAAAAAAGGGCTGGGAGCTGGGAGCAGTGGCACATGCCTGTAATCCCAGTGATGGAGGAAACTTAAGGTGGGAGTACTGCAATTTTGAGGCCAGCCTCAGCAGTTTAGTGACACTCATAATAAAAGGAGCTAAAAATGTTCCTCAGTCGTAAAGCACCTTTGGGTTCAATCACCAGTACCAAAAATGAAAAGAAAAAGAAGGCTGGGGATGTAGCTCAGTAGTAGGGCACTCCAGAGCTCAATCCCTTGTACTACAAGGGAAACGAGGAAAGCAAACAAACCCAAAACAACTACAAAACAGCATCATGACCACATTTCTGTAATAAACACATGCACTACTTTTGGAAGGATATACACTGGCATGTTAAAAGTGGCTCTCAATAGTGAATAGGGCTCCAAGTTGTTTTCATTTTTTCTATATAAATTTAGGTAGAATGAAAAGCTGATATGAATTTAGCAAAGTAAATTTCTATTATAGCTCCTAGGGAAATATCAATTTTACACTATGCACTAAATCATGCCATCCATATAAAAGGAATTAAACCACATACCTCAGAGGATTAATGTGAAGAATCAATACAATAACTAAATCAAAGAGCAGCTCCCAACAGAGCTGGAGCCCACCATTATCACCACAGGGGTTCAGAATTGCCAGATCTTCCAATTGTCAAGCACAGTCAGATTTTATTTAAACTCTCCTAATAACACTGGCAATTTACTCAACTGGTTTTCCTTTTGGGGGGGAAGGGAGTAGGGCAGGGTACAGGAATTGAGCCCAGCACTTAACTGAGCACTTAACTACTGAGCCACATCCCCAGCATGCCCCCCCCCTTTTTGAGACAGGGTCTCACATAGTTGCTTAGGGCCTAAATTGTTGAGGCTGGCCTTGAATTTCTAATCCTCTTGCCTCAGCCTCCAGAGTGGCTGGGATTACAGGCCTGTGCCAATGTGCTTGGCTACTCAACTGGTTTTAAAACACTACAAATTACCAGAGAAAACATACAAATGTAATATAATCACATGAAAAAATGCTCAATATTATTTGTTATTAGGGGAATGCAAATTAAAATCACAATAGATATCACTGTATACTTACTAAAACAGCTAAAATTAAAAACTTACAACACCAAGTGCTGGATGGATGAGGAGCAACTGAACAGGAACACTACTGATGGAATGTAAAATGATATAGCCACTGTGAAAACAGTCTGGCAGTTTCTTACAAAGTTAAATAAATACTTACCATATGACCAGCAGTCCTACTCCTAGGTGTTTACCCAAGTGAAATGAAAACCTATGTTCACACCAAAACCTGTATATGAACATTTATAGCAGCTTTATTCATAATTGCAAAAAGAAAAACAACCCAGTCTTCAATCAGAGAGTGCATAAGCAAACTGGTACATCCAAACAATAGATACTTGGCAATAAAAAGAAATAAACTCTGCATATACTTAACATAGTCTCAAATGCATAATGCTAAGTGAAAGAAGACAGATTCATTCAGATGCTCCTCAACTTAACAATGGGGTTATATCCTGAGAAAACCATTGTAAATTGAAAATATCCTATGTCAAAAATGCATTTAGTATACCTGATCTACAGAACACATTACTGTACACTATAGAATGTTGGTGGTTTCCCCTTGTGATCCTATGAGTGATGGGGAGCTGCAGCTCACTGCTTACCACTGCCTGGGTAGAGATCAAAACGTGAAGTACAATTAACGTGTATTACATTATTTATCATCATGAAGTACAAAATTTGTAAGCTGACCCAGAGTAAGGCAGGTACCATTTGTACTATGATTTCATTTAGAGTATATGCCATTTTGGAAAAGGCAGAACTATAAGGTATGGTGATCAGTGGTTACCTATATTAAGGGTTTGACAAAAATGAGGGAATGTTGGGGGATGTGAAATGTTCTGTATTTTGTTTTGACTATTTATCAGATCCCTTATATAGCTGAAAAATGACATGTGTGAGCTAATTGTGTCCTTTGGGCATTCAGTTTGTACCCTCTCTTTCTTCCCTTCAGAACCTAGCTTCCACATGATGAACTACTCCCACCCATTTGGCCACCTATGTGATGGGAAGATGAACTAAGCTATACAACTATATCCATTGATAGGTTTCTTGTCAGTCCACACAATATCAACACAGTATTTATTAGCAAGATCTCAACTTTACAGATCATTTGAACATGTCTGAAATACTTTCCTTAAGGATACAATCTTATTTGCTATGTATTCAGGAAAATATAAATACAAAATGGTGAATTTAACAGTAGAACTATCTCTTTGTAAAGCTAACAACTAATCTTTGGTATGTGTGTTTTCTTATTCAGGGTTTTACTTTTTCTCCTATAATAAACTATTCTTCTGGTATCCCTGCAGTCTATCCTGGCATCGGAGGAGCTGCCCTTTGTTTATGAACAGTCTGCCTGGGGTGTGGAAGAGTTGGGCCCCTTTCTACGCTTGTGCCTCATGGATCAAAACTTCCCAGCATTTGTGGATGAGGTAGAAAAGGAACTTAAAAAGCTGACGGGGTTAAGAAATTAATGTTCTATGTAAATGCATAAACCTAAGGAACTTCTAAAGTATTGAAAAATGCTTTCTCCTAAAAAGTTAAAGATAGTAAAGAGTATTATTCCAAACACCTTTTGTCAATGTTTTATTGTTAAAAACAGGTGAATCCACTTTTTAATACATCATTGCACTTCAACAATTACACAAAACACAAGTACATGCATCTATAGTTACGTACTGCATGAGAACCTGGTCAGGTTATAAAATCTACCATCAACCATTAATCAATGTGAAAAAATAGTGTCAAACCAAAAAGTATAACTAGAGTTGCATAGTTTCACCATGCTATAACATCTCAAGGTCATTGAAAACAAAAGGTAAATTATAAAATTTGCCTTGATCGAATATACAAGAATAGTTCAATACATCAGTGCAAAAGGATTTAAGAATTTACATGATTTAACAGAAGAAAAAAATAGTCACTTAAAAGCAATCATACATATATACTGCAATTCATTATATCCCTTCAGTGGACTATTCCATCATATTATTAAAGTTGTAGGTTAAGCCCTTAAAATTACAGACTTCAGAATTTATAAATTATCTATCTTTATGTACCATAACTGCACATTTCCTCATCTGACAACATACAATAAGGAATGAATATCAGCATTTTAAACATGAAACAAGCATTTATTTTATTTTGGATTTCTCCCACCCCAAAAAATATAAATATATATATATATATATTTATATATTGTATATATCTGTAGGTTTTGAGTACTTTACAAAAATGTATCACTAGATGGCAGCAGTGCATTTTAGAGCTTTGCCAATTTAACAGCTGCTTTAAGTAAAAAATGGCGCATGCACGATCTGGTCCTCAGAGGACCTTTTCACTTCTATTTAAATATTTTAACAAAGGAAAGAAAGCAACATTCACAGCACATCAAGCCCAAAATAGTTTACACCTTCTACACTGAAGCACTGTTTAAAATGTACCTGGCTAGGTCACCCTTATAGGAGAGGCTAAATAAGGCATGCTTTAGACGGTCATTGTGGTGTTGCTCACTTTGAAAAGGGAGACCAAAGAGGTCCAAGCAGAAAATTTAGCAGGTCATGATGCCACCAGTTTCAGGAACCTAAAGATCTGTGGGGGGGAAAAAATGTATTTGGAAATTAAAGGGAATATGCACTGTCCTTCAGGACTATACCAAGCACCACATAAAATAAACTTTGATTCAAACAGCATGCTCAGGGATGTGGTGTGAAATTCTGATCTCCATGTGCCTAAGAGAATGGTATCCAGCCCTGTTGCTTCTTGGCCACTGTCCCTGTCCTTGCCCTCAGAAGTAAAGCAGCACTAACAGGCCTCTAGGAACAATTTGCCTAAAGTGACAATTTACTCTTTTTCTCTTTTTTAAAAGATATAAACCAAGTAGTGCAAAGTATTTATTTTGAAACATCGTATGTATTCTGAAATGGAATTTATGTAAAAGCTGAAAAATGTTCCTTTCTGCCACTAAATTGAGCAGAGAACTTGTTTCAGCAGAACCAACTGCTCTGAAATGAACTTAAAAGGTCTTACCACATAACACCAACTATTGAATTTGTAACAAGGTCAACAGAGGTAAAATGCAACTGAATATAATTTTTTAAATTTCTAGAAGGCCATACTTACATTATAAGCAGTACTTAATTTGTGTTTCTCTGGCGCAAGTTTTTATCTTTGTGATTGTTGGTAGAGTTGGTTTTCCTTTGGAGGAAAAATTGCATTGTGAGTTAAACTAGTAACAATGTTTGAAACACATGGAAATACAGGGACTCTTTCACTTACTGCCATCCCTGGTATAAGAAGAAACTTTACTGCACAATATTAGTTTGTAACAATATACCTTATAAAAAGTTCCTACATACTTCAATTAATAGATTCTTTGACTCCTAAGGCAGACAACATACAGGCAGCTTGCCCTTTGATTTCTAAACTACATTTCAGAACTATAAAAGTGAGTAACATTTACTCCACTGAACACCCCTGTTATTTTTCAATTGATAAAAGACAACCATCAACTGGCTGTTCTGTACTGTCAGTCATTTAACTAAATACTTGCATCTTAGTCCCTAACTCGAGGATAGATTGCCAGACTTGGACTGCTCCTACACTTGCAGCTCCATCTCTCTTGGATAGCAGTAATTGTTAATGGAGCTAACCAGTTGATCCATACTATCTTATAATCCAGACTGAAATTAACTTAAAACTTTAGGCCTCACATATAGTGGTCTAGTTAAGCATGTGTAACGTGCAAAATTTTAACAACTTTTTGCACAGTAATACACTTGCATGGCTAAAAACAAGATTGCAACCTGTCCTGGGAATCAAAATGGTCTCAGTCTTTGTCTGGTTAAGAAGTCTATGTTGCAACGATATTTCTACTCACTGTCTTCCCCTAAGAATTTAGCTACTCCATTTGACAAAACTGTAAACACAAGATAATTCAATCAGAAACCATTAAAAGTCAGTGTCCAATAAAGTACTTACATTGGCCCAGCTGGTTCATCATCTATATGGGTGTTCAATTTTTAATAAATCCACGAAAAATAAGAGAAAGAAGAAAATTGTTAGATTCTGCATAAAGATTAATAGGATAGCTTACTGCAAGTAGCAGACATGGCTATTCATAGCATTTATTAAAGGCCATTCCATCTGGAGGTGCAAAACACTCATGGAGTTATTATTTCTAGATTCAAGTTTTAATGGCAGGTATGTTGTTTCAATGGTTTTAGTTAACACTTTGAATGCTTGTCATGAAAAACTGCAACTGTAGTGGACAGACAGGCTGAAATATCATTATACTCATCTTGTCCCCAAGTTCCAGTGGTTCACTCTTAAATAGATGAGAAGACAAACCAACATTTCAGTTGTAAAATCCTGCTGTTTGTTTTCTTGTGGTGAATGCATGCAGTTTTGGCTCAATCCTGCAATGTAAATGGATGTGTAAATCCTATATGTTTAGCCACACATCCTTACTTCCCCAAATGGCACAGTTTTTCTGTTTTTGGAATCTTTAGGAGAGTCTTTAAGTCTGGAGATTGAGAAGAGGAAGCCATCATAGTTCAAGCTAATGCTGAGTCAGCCATGCTGGACTATGCCAACAATTAGCATATGCATACCAGAGGATGTTGAGACACTTCAGGGAGAGCTAAATAGTGACATCCCTCTAGAGAAGACTTCAGATAGAAAGACTGGCTCACTCTTGTGCCCTGGCCAAAACCAGAACACCCATGAGATATCTTTTTTAAATCAAAAGGCTTATATGTGCTCAGAAGCCTTTTCAAATTGATACTTTATGGTTCTCATTAGGTTTTCTTTCATGTTTCAACTAAGGGCAACTTGATCCCTTTCAAGAAGAGATACACACTTTTTTTTTTTTTAAATCCACAAAGGGGAGGGAAACAAGTAAGTGCTCTTAGTTTGTTTTTCCTAAATGATTCAGAACAGTTTGATTTTGCTGAAGGGTTCTAGAAAAACTCTCAGCAGGATTCCACAAGGGGGCTTGGTGCACATGAAGCAATTATGGAGGTTACAATCTCAGTGTAGGCATCTGCAGGAGCACATGTTGGGAGTAATGTCTGTCAGAGGGAGACATTTCTCCACCTGTTCCTTCCAGGCAACGGAGAGGCAAAGCCACCGCCAGCACACACAAGTGACTGGAGCAAAAAAAAGGATTAAAAAAAAAAAAAAAAGAAAGAAAGAAAAAAAGAACCAACCACAAACCAATGACTCATAAGCCAAAACAATAGGCTAGCGACACACCAGTGTCCACAGGAGTCCATTACTAACAACGGTACACTATCAAAACAGGTACAGCAAACAACGTACGACTCCAGGACACCCAAGACATTTATGTGTGCTGTGTATGCGCAGTGGAAAGATACAAAGACATACCAAGTACTAAGACACACAAGCCCAAACTAAACCCTTCCCTCACGACAGCCTACTGTGCTCAGCATCCAGCCAAGCCAGCTCAGCTACATGCTAGGAGCTAAGCACCTCAGGGATTTGAAGACAACACAGGAGCAACTTAAAAGTATTTTTAGTGCTCTAGATGTGCATCCCAAAATACAAAATTCTAATACAAGGAAGCCAAATTGAATATATCACCAATTTAGTCCCAACTTTAAAATAAAAAAGCAGGGCAGGGAGAATCACAATAGCCACTCTTCTTTTCAAAGCATGACACTATAGGCAACCAACCCAAGCACCTCAGAACGCAGGCTTTTTTTCTTTCTCTCTTTTTTGGTGGGAGGGTATTCTCTGGTGCCAGATTAGAAATGTCACTTTCCAACCTAACAAGATGGTAACATGCAAAGGGCTTACATGTAGGTATTTCAGCAACAGTGCCTCTGGCATAGCTGCCATGCCTCTGAGTGGAGCAGCCATGATTCACACTGGGGTCTAAATCCCAGGAGCCCTCTCAAACTCTCCCCAGATTCACTTTCACACTGACAAAGAACAAAGAGCCTCCTGTCTCCCTCCTCTCCTGCACTGAGTTACTAAGTGCAGCACCACTCTCCTTTATAGGTCATACAATAAGTAGGTAGGTAGGTAGATAGATAGATACCAAAATAATGACTTGACCCCTAAAAAGGGAAGTCAGGAGAGAGGGAAAGAACAGAACTACAGAAAAAAGGTACAAAAATCAAAGTAAATGAGGATTAAACAGCAAACTGAAATCCAAATTAGTTGTGAAAGTGAATGAAGTAACTTGAAGAAAAGTGTTAACATATGAACTGTGCATCATATAGACTGAAGCGGAGATTTAAACAAACTCCAAAAGCATGCATATCGCTCACTTACCACCATGTTTTAAGGGTTTGATGCAATTGAGGGGGGAAAAAAAAGAAGTCATAGTAACCGACAAACATCAACACACCCCCAAACCCTCAGGCCAAAAGAGCCGCCTAACAATGACTGTTCTCTCCACCTGGGAATTACAGCCACTGGCTAAATGAGAGGAAGAGGACTGGGGGGAAAATGGAAACAAAGATGCTTCTGGAATCCACATGGTGAGAATGAAGTTCTTGGTGGAGCTGCTGCACACACTGGTTTTCTGCATGTTTAAAATTTCCCCACTGAAGGTACCATAGCTCTCCTCTCCCAACACCCACCTCATAATCTAGAAAGGGTGCTCTGTGATGTGTAGTAAATAACAGATTGCCTGATACAGGATCACCTCCAAAAATGATAGCTTCAGAGTCAAAACAACCCAAGAGCTGACTCTGGTCAAAGTTCCTTCATCATTGCATTCATATCACTGAAGAAAAGGTTTTATATTTCTAAATCCACTTAAAATTTTGCCTGGTTTCAGCAGAGTAGCATTAACTGAGATATTAATGATCACTTCCAAGTTCCTCCTTTGTTTGGTCCTATTGCATTTTTTCTTTAAGGTAACTTCTTACTGATAAAATGACCCCTAGTCAAGAGACAGTGAATGTGTTCTGGATGTTGTTTTTAAAAGTCACATTTCTTTTTCAACTTCCATAGTGTGCCATGAAGCTTCATATGCTACCAAATGCTTTGACCAACTAGTAGACTTGGGAATATTGGAAGACCTCTTTAAAGTGTCTAAAAGAGCATGGATATATCAGATATATCAAAACACTCTTATAAAATAAAACCTCAAATATCTTCTCCACCAGTAACTTAATGGAAGAGTCATTTTGACTTGCTTATGAAAATTATCCCAGTGTGAAAAAGAAACTCTTGATGCCAGCACTTTTCTTAACTCAGTTCCCATTATTTAATTTTAATGCCTGTGAATCCACTAAAGTGTAGAGTAGAACTGAAGGCCCCAGTGACTGCTCAGGTTCATCGCCCCATTTCCCAGCAGCCTGAGAGCACATATCAGTTGCTCTTTACTTTAGCAGAGAGCCAACACAGGTGGGCTCCAAGCATGTGTCCAACTGTAACATGAATGGATGGCTAGACTGTTTAACATTTTGGAGGAACATACTCAAAGTGAAAAACCAAAGCTCTGATTTGGCTCCATGATTCACATGTTCCTAAAAACACACATGGATAATCCTACAAGACAACTTACTGGGTGCTGATCCTCCAACATACTAAAGCATACAAATAGTAGATTTCATTTATAAAAAGACATGGGTCTTTTTTTTTTTTTTCTTTTAAAGCAGCTGAACCTCAACTTTCAGCTAAAGCGGTATTTGCTTTTCTAGTGGAACACAAACTGTTTAAGTTCAAATGTATTTTTACTTTTATACTTAGTCTAAGAACTCACAGAATGCCCCTTACAGGAATACTATGAGTTCATATAAAAAAGTTCAGTGAATCTGAAATAAACTAGGTTTTGTCACTGCTCTTGCAAGCCATTTTAAAATGGCATATATTCCACTATAATGAGCACTACCAGGCCTAGTTGGTTGAAATGAAGAATGTGAACCTGGCGCTTTAAAGAATGACAATTCCCCATGTCCTCTCTATGAAAAAAGAATCTATTTGACAGAGAAAAGGTACATTAGGCCTTAAAAACAAAAAATCCTTCCCAATTTCAAAGTGGCATAAATAAGCCAAAACAGTGCCACAATCGTTATATATAAAAATTCACCACCTTGAACAACCAAGTTCATATAAGATAAAATGTATCTCTTCATCCCCCAAAGGGTGTATACATATAATCTACATTTAAATTTGGAAAGGAGCAAATGGGAAGAAAGTGTATATGTGGCACTGGTGGAAGAGAGATGGCAGTATCTAGTATCATTTTTTGCTCAACAAATTTTGAGCACATCATTGATGCCTTCCCTTCAATATCAACAACAAAAATCAACAAGTTTCTGACAAAAAGCAGGGTATAAGCCTCTGGTCTGGGTAGTATGAACTGGCTAAAGAAGAAAAAGCAAGAGCATAAGAAAGCTCAATCACATTTTTTTTTTTTTTTAATGATTACTTTCAGGGTAGAAAAGAAGGGAGGTGGAAACAGAGAAGTTTGAGAGAAAGAGGTCGAGAAACAAAGGAGAAAACTGGAATGAAAATGCTGGAGTGAGAGTAGGGATGTTGAGATGGAGAATGGAGCCTGAACCAAACTGGCTGTCAGGAAGGGAGGGAGAGAAGGAACACTGTAATCATTCTAGAATCCCAGATTTTTCACCCCAAGTCAACAACAAAGAAGTATTAAAAGCTGCTTGCATTACATTATTCCTAAGAGACAAGAGCAAAGAAGCTTAACTTTGCACTTACCCTGCAGTCATCTCTCTTTATGTAGGATTCTTTCACTGTCTATAACAATTTAGTTTAAGAGGTTACTTTCCCTCCAGGAAGCTGTTCAGAAGCCTGGCTGGCCATAGATGTCTCCTATAACAAACTGGTCTCCCCATTTGATTAACCAATGAACTCCTAAGCTGGGATAGCATCCTTAACAACAAAGTGGGCACTTATGAGGAAGATCAGAACCGGTGGCAGGGACATGCTAAGCCAATGTACCACTCTTTCATAGGAGAAGCAGCCAGCCTTGTCTAAAAAATTTTAAATGAGTTTTTAGAGCCCATCTCTGCCAATTCTTTCCTACCTGTGTGCTCTTCAACCTGTGCAAAGGACAGGCTGAGAAAAAGCAGTATTTGGCAAAGCAATATGTAGCACTGTGGGAGGGATGCAAAAGCCCTTGTCAGGAAGGAGGCATAACTGCTCCCAAAGAGCACATGAAAACCAGGCAACTCTTCTCTCCCTTTACTCTCAAGTCTAAATATAGGTGCACTCTGTGTTGGGAATCCTAATATATAGCAGAAAAGGGAGAAATCTCAAGGAAAAACCATTAGGGATACATGAAAATCCATGAAGTAGTTTTACTTCATAGCGTAGGAAAGTAAAACTCCTGGGGGACCATCCTCTATCTCAGAGAAACTAGACCATGTATTTACAAAGGTCTCTCTGCTTCCAGTCGACACCCACCCCATTCCTCCATTCAATTCACTGCTGAAAGTACATTCAAAGAGGCATCCATCTACCAGGTCTTCTTACAGGTATCATAGTGTCAACAAAAACCTCTTCATCAATCTCAGCACTCATTCAAATACTCACTCTACTTAGTGCAGACAACAGATTTAGAGCTGCTGAGAAGAAAAGGAAGTGGCTGGTACTCTCAAACATGTCCTTTTCAGAGAGTCTAAAAGTCATTGGCATGCCTTTGAAGCTCCTCCACTCTTTTCAAGGGATCAAGAAACCTGTGTTTGCCAGATATACAAAGGCTGCAGTCCTATTGCTCAGCCACAGAGACAGTCAACCCTGGGGTAGGATATTGTGCCACGGGTACATAAACATAATCCCCAGAACTGGTGATCCCACCATCACTCCAGGTCAGTTTGCACTGAGCTTAGTGACACACACTTCTGGTCTAGCTTGGCAGCAAAGCAAGTGTTGGCAATGGTTGGTCAGGCATTTTTCTTTTTGCCAGTGATATGAGAGGATGGAAGAGTGGGAGGGTGGGGGTATGGAACTATTAGGAATCTGAAGTTCTGATAGGAGTCTCCATAAATAGTTTCCCCCTGGTTTTAATCAAAGGGTTAAAAAATGAAAATCTATGACCAAAAAAATACAACAATATCCTAAAGCTTTCCTGATTCCAGGCTTGTCCAATAAGAGAAGACATCAGCTGTTACCTCTACAGTGCTTAATGACTCACCATGATTCTACTGCTACTGTCACTCTACTCTGCGACCCTGGGCCTGCCTTGGGACATGGGCTCCAGGTCCAAGTATTAGCACTTAGCTATCTTAAACTGGGAGGAGGGATACATCAGACACTCGCCACTGTTCTTCTCTTTGCAACACAGGCAGAAGAGCCATATGGTAGAGAATAATGAAAATCTACCAAAGAGACCAATTAAGGAACCACAGGGCAGCTTGTTCCAATGGCTTTCCTAAGATAGTCTGACTTGGACTGGGACTATTACTTACAGGACTTATACCAGTCAACCATCTGACAACCAGTTAGATACTTTAAATCTGCCTGAATGAACAGGTGGCCTACCATCTTGGGGTGGCTTCCAGGCTTAACCTGGATTCTCTTCAAGCTCAGCTGCCTTATGATCTATATTGAAGGAAGACAAAACTCAACAAGGAGACTGACAGCTGTTCATTCAGGGCCCTAGGATTTGGAGGATACCTAAAGAGGGAAAGAGCATATTATAGCTACTGATGCCTAATATAAAAAAATCTTGAGTCAGGCACAGTGGCACATGCCTGTAATCCCAGTGGCTTGGGAGACTGAGGCAGAAAGATCGTGAGTTCAAAGCCAGCCTCAGCAATGGTGAGATGCTAAGCAACTCAGTGAGACCCTGTCTCTAAATCAAATACAAAATAGGGCTGGGGATGTGGCTCATTGGCCAAGTACCCCTGAGTTCAATCCCTAGTACCACTCCACCTACAAAAAACCAAAAATCTAAGAGGTAGGGAGTTAGGAATAAAATTTTTCCTTCTTTTTCCTTTTGGAATGTTTGGGAATCCCAACATCCATATAGTCTTCTTTGGGTGTTTAGAAACCACCCCCAAAGAACCAAATCCAACATTACTGTTCTGTAGGTATGCTCTTACCGTCAGGAACCTCATCTGGCCTCTTCCTCTTCTCATACACAACAATGATCACTACAAGGATGATGATTTCAGCCAGAATTCCCAAGAAAGGCCACAGTGGGGCCAGGTGGCTTCGTACCCTGAGGATGGTGAACACTGAGGCGGAGCCAATAGAGTTAGTAGCATTACATTCATACTCTCCGGGATCTTCTGTGATCTGGAGGTTCATAATACTCAACTCTGTATAATTCTCCTTGTTGATGATGAAGAAGCGACCAGAGGCATTGCCAATCTCCTGCAGAAAAAAGTGGGGACACACAAAGGTCAGAGTAGGTGAGCCAGTGATCAAGGGAGGGTAAAGTTCTCCTCCCTCTTACCAGGACACTGGTGGAAGTGAGATGGCAGTATCTAGTACCATTTTTGCTCAACGAATTTTGAGTACATCATTGATGGCTTCCCTTCAATATCAACAACAAAATCAACAAGCTTCTGACAAAAGCAGGGCATAAGCCTCTCATGTGCTAGTCCTCCAGACTCTTCCAGCTTCCACAGAGTGCAGGCTTACTGGTATAGATTGATGACATAATGAATGCTACTTCAAACACCCGATGAGAAACTACAGCAGGAAGAAGATGGGGAAGGAGCAGCACAAAGGACTCCCCTATTCCCACATCTGGGAATATATAGTACCTGCTTTACTAAAAAGGAAAACTGGTCAAACAAAAAGTTGGAGGGTTTAAGGCACTGTCCAAACACCATCAAAAATCATCCCACAGGTTGGAAAAGATGTTCTCTTTGACCTTTTGTATAGCAAACATTGTCTAATACCAGTGCCTAAGCTTGCCCTTTGCCCTTCTTGGGTTGTATCAGTATTTCTGAGTTCTAGGAATATACTTATAACTGCCTTCAATCTTACCAAAATCAAAACATACTCTAATGGACTGGAATAGTAAAATATTTAAAACAGGCTTGGATCTTTCTGTGTCCTATCCTGAAGGCAATCAGATAGACAGCTTTAACAAATCATGTACATAGTCCATGCTGGATAGAGATTGCCCTGCAGATTCAGATGTAAAGCATTCATCACCCTAGAAAGGATGATTCAAGCCTTGTACACATCCAAGAGTATAGGTGTTGAAGCAACTGGTCCAGATGTCTGCACGTCCCTAGTAGAAACTCCAGCAACCACAGAGACTCAGGCACCAAGAGCCAGGGCTGCTTCCTACTCACTGAGAGCACACCATTCTCCTTCTTTCGCCAGATCCACTCTGGGTGGGGATAGCCAACTGACTTGCAGTACATTATGGCATCCTGCCCCTCATTCTTGTTCTCACTCCGTTTATGGCCAGTGATGTCAGGAGCAGCTGTGAAAAAGTGTTAAGAAAAAAAAAAAAAAACAGTTACCACAGTAGCCTACTCTAAATAGGTTACAAAGGCCTAACCTACTGGCTCAGAGTCTTGCTTCTAATGTAATTGGCCTTTAGGCACCCTTCCTATTCAGCTTTGATAAAGAGCATTTCAGATAGGATAATGGAGCCAATTCCATTCCTCACCCCCACCCACCAAAGCATCAGAGCAGGTACCAGGATTATTAACATATGAAGTTCTACTCAAGTAGGTGATTCTCCAACTTACAGGAAAAAGATACAAGTCCAATGGCCCTAAATTTCCTCCTCTTTAAAGAAAATGCAAACAAAAGTCATTATCATCTCTGATACCGCCAGCCCAGGGTTTTCCTTCAAATACTTGCACTAATAACAACTATAGATCATGTCAAATATCACATACTCCCCTAAGGGAAACAAAGAGGCTTGAGGTCAAACATGTGCAATCAAGGTACACAAAAATAACAAGTGCTTGGATAAGGTACTCTGTAAGTATCAATGACCTAGGTTCTCCCAGGAAAGACTGAAAGAAATGGATGAACAGGAAATTCAACCAGTGTCTCAAATGCTTTTGTTAATAGCTTAAGAATCTGACTAGAGGGCTGGGGCTGTATCTCTGGGCAGAGCACTTGCCTAGCACATGTGAAGCACTGGGTTCGATCCTTAGCACAACATAAAAATAAATAAATAAAGGCATTCTGTCCATCTACAATTACAAAAAAAAAAAAAATTTTTTAAAGAACCTGACTTGCCTTGCTGGGCATGGTGGCACATGCCTGTAATCCCAGTGGCTCTGGAGGCTGAGGCAAGAGGATTGGGAGTTCAAAGCCAGCCTCCGTAATGGTGAGGTGCTAAGCAACTCAGTGAGACTCGGTCTCTAAATAAAATACAAAATAGGGCTGGGGATGTAGCTTCAGTGGTCAAGTGCCCTTGAGTTCAATCCCTGGTACTGGTACCCCCACCCCTTAAAAAAAAAAAAAAGGAATCTGACTTGATTACCTCATTTGCAACAATCTTGATGAACCCAATTCTGGAGTTCCTAGAGGCTGTTGGGCTTTTCTACTTTTAGAGATCACACAGGAACAAATAAACTGTACCTATAATCTAAAACTTAGGTCAGTTTCAATGATCCAAGTAGCCTGAGATGGGGCTAATTCTTTGAATTTAATCTTTTAACAATACTTTCCATTAATGCTGGACCAGTTACAGGAACCTGATAGCAGTGAAATTCAAAGTAGGCTAGACTTTACTGTTGGCCAAAGTAGGGAAGAAAATCAATAGGACTTTACTCAAATTCCAGTTTTGCTGGCTCTTGACAAATTCCATGCTTTGTTTCTATTCCCATTATCAAACAGAGATAATTCTTACCCCACACTACCTCCCTGTTCCTATTTTTTTTTGTATCAGGGGTTGAAGCCAGGGGAACTAAACCACTGAGCCACATCACCAGCGCCATTCCCCTTTTATTTTTTATTTTGAGATAGCAAGGCCCTAAGCAACTTTGCAAGACCCTAAGTTGCTGAGGCTGGCTTTGAACTGGCGATCCTCCCACCTCAGCCTTCCTAGCTGCTCCCTGTTCTTGAATAGATAAATAAGATGTCAAAAACATTCATTTTGAGGCTGTAAAGTCCTGTAGAATTGTACTGTATGATGGACTGACATCAGGTACTACCTCTGATGAGCTTGCTTTTCTTGGCTTAAGAGTCCAAAGTTCTACTACTCACAGACTGTGCTTCTTAGGCACAAACTAGTCTTGTACTTAACTTCTAGAGGCAACTAGACATGAATGAAATGGACAAAAACCCAAGCTGTCTCTACAACCAATCCTTGCTAAACTGAGGCTTGTTCAGGACCACTTAGTGTGTGAAATGTTTCCTAGACTGGGTGTTATAAAAGAAACCTCATTTTGTTTTTCTAGGAAAAATGCTTTACTACCAAAGGGAGTGATTAGGCTAGCTCTATCTTGTCCTAATCCAAACTTTCCCCACTGCCACTTTATCACTTCTCAGGCCTACTGGTTATCCTTCCTTAGAGATTTCTTCAGCCAAATACTATTACTCCAAGGAGTAAGCTCCAAAGCCATATCTTAACCAAAACACCATCAAGGGGAAGCTGAAGGACATACTAAGCAGAAGAGCTAACACACGTTGCCTCCAACTTTGTTTCACTCACTTGACAAGCATCTGTTGAACATACCCTACATGCCAGAGACGATAACAAAAGGATCAGAAAAGGTCTTTCTGATGTGAAAATAAGGAGTAGGGCACGCATATGTGTAGAGAGAACACTCCAGGGAAAGAGAAGCAAAGGGGTTGAGGCAGGTGTGTGTTTATTATATACAAGGAACAGTAAAGAGAAGTTTGGTTGGAACACAGTTCACAAGAACACAGAGATGAAATCAGAAAGACTGTGGACCCAGACTGGATAGGACTTGGTAGGCCACTACAATGACTTTGGGCATTTACACTGAGTCTGTTAGAAATCACTAGTGGCCTATTACATGCAAATATGAAATGATTTGTATGCTTTCACTGACTCCCTATGGCTATTATATGGACAACTGTATATACACAACAGTGGAAGCATGACCAAAGTAGGATGCTACTTGAGTAATTCAGACAAGGGTGTGGGTGGTATCCATGGTTCACATGAAGGGAGTAGCAGTGGAAGTGGGGAGAGGTAATGAGATTCTAGGTATATTTTGTAGGTTGAGTTAATATATTTATTAATGACTTAGATATGGGACAAGAGAGAAAAAGGAGCCATGGATGACCCCAAGATTTTGGCCTGAGTAATTAATTAATCATTAAGAATGGAATCGCCAATTACTAAGATGCTCAGGGCAGTTTTTGTTTGATTATTCTTGTTTTGTTAGGGAAGAAAGCAATAGTGGACAGGACATGTTAAGATTAAGAAGCATATTTAATGAAGTTGTCACGTAGGCAGCTGAATATTAATTCTGGAACCTCGGGGAAGTGCTCTAGAGTGAAGATATAAATTTCAGAAATCAGCTTATCTATGGTGTATTTTCCCATTTTCACTCTCCTTTGCCTCAAAGGGAACACTCTGAGCCATATATAAGGCCAATGCCATTAGCACTAGTTAAGTACTATAGTTAAGTACTATTAGCTTTTGCTTTGGGTTACACATTAGAACCACCTAGAAGGCTTAAAGTTAAGTTGGCAGAGTGCTCTACGGCCTCTAAAAGTCATTTTTCTGAAAGAGCCCAGACTTCAAAGGTCAGGAATGGGGAGAAGAGTAGGAATGATTTTCATTCTTGCTTTGGTATTCAGGAGGAGGAAAATGCCACCTTCCTTTTCATTCATCTAGCGCATTATTCTACAAAGGTTTCTACTTAGAGATGGAACATGGCCTTAAAAGCACCTTTTTTGGCCATGTTTACAGAGCATAAGCCTATAAGAAAATCTTTTCATTAGTTATATCAACTAATGTTTTTTTCCTCATCTTACCAAAGAGTACTGTGTGAAGTTGAGGAGAAAGTATTTCCTCTACCTAATGGACTACAAAAAATAATGCCTTGATTATCTTGGATGAAGGGAAGTATCACTACTATACTAGGTACAGAGAAAATTAACCTAAGCCACACCACTCTACCCCTAAAGGAAGTGATTATAACAACTGTGACTTTTGCCTATGGATCAATAGAAAAGGTGTGTCACTTCTATCTTTTATGGTAGCTGCTTGCTTAATCAAAATGCCTGTTCCTGTACCACCTGCTGGGCAGGACAGAGCACCCACAGATAGAAAGGTAACTGCGCAGAGTATATATCAGCAGTGGTCAGAAACAGGCCCGTTAGGGCTGAACCACCAATAATGGTTTTAAAATAGTACACAAATTCCCTGATACATTGCCTTTCAAGAGATGAAGCATAATTCCCCTTAAATATTAGGACTAGATTTAGTGACTCCTTTCTAATGAGTAAAATAAAGCAACTCTGAAAATGTTCACAAAAGGAACTGTGGCTTTCTAGTCTCAGTCATCACACACTTTGAGGGGATGTAAGCTGCCATGCTAGGGGGTTGCTCAAACAGCATATGGAGAAGCCCTCAGAGTCCTGCCAACAGACATGTGAGGGAGCCACCTTTGAGAGTAGATCGATGAGCCCTGGCCAAGACTTCAAATGAGTACACCCCAACAAACAGCTTGAATGAATTCTCAGGAAAGACTGAAACAGAAACCCTGCTAAGCTGCTCCATGATCCCTAATCCAAGGAAATTATGACATGAAAAGTGTTTTTCTAAGCCACTACGTTTTGGGATAATTTATTACACAGGAATAGATATACTAAATGATGAAGTAGATATTACCCCATTTTCATAAATTGGGAAACTCAGTTTAAAAAAGTTATTTAGTGTCTAAAATTATACTGCTAGTAAATGGTAAAACTGGAATTCAATTCAGGGTTGTTATCACTCAAGAAACCATGCAATTTTGTACTTTACTATAGTGAGGGGAAAATAAATCAGCATAGGGCTGACAAAAATTGAAATATTTAATATGCATTACTGATAACTGCACAGTAAATTGCCCAAATGTTATTTTTACTTATAGATGTACCAGAAGTCTCTAGACCTGATGTGGGACTGATTTACCTGTCAGAATTTAACTACCTCATATAGTATAATGTATGGACCAGAACAGAGCTTTGGATCTGGTCACTTTAAAAAAGCTCTATTACTCACCAATCAATTAATCTAAGGTTGATCATTTAAAGTCCTTTGAGTTTCAATATTTACTTTCATAAAAGGGAAATAATACCCACATATTTCATAGAGACCTTGTGGGGATTAAAGTATACCACTATACTAAGGTTAGAGCTCAGGATCAAAAAGTAGAACTCAGATTTGAGCTATTAGGGAAAGGAAAGGCGAAGGCTTAGACTCCAGCATTGTTAGATCTAGGCAATCAAAAAGATGCTGATTACTATGTGCTTTCCCCTCTTGATGACATAAACAGG